ATAATGGAAAGAAAGACCGCAATATAAACCTGACAGGAGATTGTGTCCCTTATACATTAAAAACAATGGTCGGTGTAGTTCTACTTTAAAGGGACCATGCCATAAGGCTGCAGGTATAATGAAGGTACCTAGATGCACATACCAGAAACAGACTCATAATGGCTACCTGCAGCAGACTCTAAAATCCATCACTGTGACGGGCTGCCTTATGGGAAAGTGCAGAAGGCAGGAAGGAGTGAGAAAACTTTAGGAAGCGCAGCTGTCTTGCCTGTCAGAACAGCCTGGCAGTTGGCTATAAAAGCTGAGTTTTGTAGTCTGCTGCAGCTATCGGCTTTGTGCCCCTTGGGTAAGTTAGTGACGTTTGGTGTTTTTTTTATTCTTTTTGAAACAAATCACAAATATTCCCTCTTTGTTAAACTCTCAAACTCCTGTGTGACATAAACATCGCATATTTTTTGTGTATTGCAATTAAAGAAGAACCCCACAAAGCACTATTTACAGTTAAACATATCACATAGTTCATTTTACAGAAAACCTAAGGCCCATTTCACAAGGCTGGTTACGTGCAGTCAATAAGCAGAATTCTTCTGCTGGAATGACCGGGCATGCGAATAGCAGTGGCTGCTCAGCCTGTTTAAACTAATGACTATGTCCAGGCTTGGACATCTATACATAACCACAGGTAACAGCTTTCGGTGTTGCTACATGCAAACAGCACCAGCCACTATCAGTCTGTCGTTACTTTAAATGGGCTTAGTGGCCAGTACTATTCACATGCCCTGGTCATTCTAGCCACAAGAATCCACTGATTCTTGCTGTTGGAATCCGCAGGCTGCTTGTAATTGGCCAATTTGAATGTGGCCTAATAATCATGCAAAAAAAAAATTGAAAATGCTTAAAGCTGTGGGGAGCAGCTCCTCCTTCTTGGCATGTTATTCCCATCCATGGGCACTAACACAGCATGACTCCCACTGCCCATTCAGGGCAAAATAAGAGTATATTTTTGTAAAAGCCCTGCAAAACCCTTAATATTCACTTTGTTAGTGCTCCCTCACCACTCCTGACTCTGTTGTATCCCACACTGAAATCTCTACCTTCATGGCAGGAGGTAACATGCTCTCCAAACTCAGAAACATTGCATTATGTCTTCAGCTGCGATGCACAAGTAATCAATGGCAAGGAGAGAATTGGAGGCTCAGGAGGAATGGGCTCACGCAAGTGTCTGGTCTATGGCATCTGCTAATTTAGATATTATTGACTCTGCTAGCTTCAGCACTGAGTCAAAATTGTTATTGGTAATATTTAAAGAGCTACCCAGCTCTACTATAAGAAACTGTAGAAATATTTCTGTTTAATTTCAGACTGGAGATCTTCTTTAATGTTACCTGAAACCTTTATGGCATTCACTATTTTTAAATGCAGATGAACTTGCATGAACCATGCATTGCTGATGTAACTCATATAGTTCTTTATTATGAAAACCTTAAATTACAAAAGTTAAACAATTGTTATGCTTTTATAACTACTCTACAGAATACCATTTAACTAATCACAGTTTTCTTTTTGTCCTCTTGATCTTACATTTTGTTTGCTGCTCTCTGCCACCAGCCATCTTGTTATTCAACTGAGCCATTTCATTCCCCTCCACTGTCATGCTCTAGTTCCCCCTCATCTTCAAGTCGTTTACGTAGGAGATGTAAGGAGAACTCTCATAAGTCATGTGAGCTAGGGTCAGATGTGGCTCAAGTGTCTAATGAGCTTGAATGGGACTCTGAACAAAAAGGGAAATTATACCCTGATGAAGATGAAATGGGTATAAGCTATAAGCAGCAAGCTGGCAAAGGCGGGACTCTGTTTTCTTTCTCCTTGCATCTTCCAGACTCATTCCCTTCTCTGCTGGATGATGATGGCTATCTTTCTTTCCCTAACGTTTCTGAAGCCAATTTCCTGCCTGAAAGTTTACAGCATTATCTTCCAATCCGGTCCCCATCCCTTGTCCCGTGTTTCCTCTTCATCTTTTTCTTTCTGCTGTCAGCCTCTTTCTCTGTCCCATACGCCCTCACGCTCTCTTTTCCTTTGGCTATGTGCCTCTGCTACCTGGAGCCCAAGGCGGTCTCCTTGAGTGCCTCACTTGACAATGACCTGAGTGACAGTTCAGATGATGAGGTGTGTACCTCGGCATAGAACACATCTTATTTTATTGTGTTCAGTGCGTTTAGTCCTAAATGATGCTAGATTGCTACCATACTGGTCCGACTTTCAGAGCCTCATTTTGTCTGCTTGCTAATATTTGGCAGTTTTGTCCTTAGGTCATAAGGGTTAGGCACAACATATGAAAAAAAAAAATGCATTTTCTTTTGTGAATTATTTTTCTTTTCCTGACTTTGGATATTAATATGAACAAAATGTACAGTGTTGGTAGAATTCAGGATCCCTCTTAATACCTATGTTAAGTATTTCAGATAGGATGCAGAACCTAATGCAGATAATACAGCTACAATAATGGATGTTGTCAGCCTACAATTTGTATTATAAAAAAAAGATGCAAATCCATAAAAGCAGAGCAATAGCGATGTCATGCTCTTGTCTGTAAAAGCCTATGCAGATCATAAAAGAAGTGACATGTTTCTATGTGCCTTATAATGAAGTATGAAGGGACCTTCAGAAAGTAATGTCAGCTTCTGCATCTGTAGCATATACAATTTATACCAAGTCTAAAAGCAGTTTTACCCATAGGAACAATTTCAACCTAATATTTGTTTTAATATAACAGTTGTAGAATTTTTTTAAAAGCTAGCAACTTAGACATATTTTCCTGATAGTCATAGCTTGTGCCTGATCCTTTTTACCCATTGTGTATCACTGATGCATGTTCTGTGTCTGACATGTCTGCATTACATTGGCTATATACATTGTCCAAGCCGGAAGTGTTTTGTAAGTCATTTTGGAGTCCAGGGTAGTAGTGTATGCATGATGAGCCATGTCTAGCTTGTTCTAGAACAATACAAAAAGGGGAAGTGAGAAACTTGAAATATGGAACAGTGGACATTTCTACAGCCATCTGCATAATATGTGGGCAGCTATTTTACAGTTGCAAGAAAAAGTATGTGAACCCCTTGGGATTACATGGAGTTTTGCATGAATTGGGCATAAAATGTGCTCTGAACATCATCTAAGTTACAACAATAGAAGAACACAGTCTGCTGAACATAATACTACACAAACATTAGATGTTGCCATGGTTTCATTGCACATAACATGTAAACATTCACAGTGCAGGGAGGAAAAAGTATGTGAACCTTTGGACTTAATAACTGGTTTGGCAGCAATAACCTCAACCAAAAGTTTCCTGTAGTTGCAGATCAGACCTGCACAACGATCTGGAGTAATTGTGGACCACTCCTCCTCACAAAACTGTTTCAGTGTAGCAATATTCTTGGGATGTCTGGTGTGAATCGCTCTCTTAAGGTCATGCCACAGTATTTCAATCGTGTTGAGGTCAGGACTCTGACTGGGCCACTCCAGAAGGTGTATTCTGTGCTGTTGCAGCCATTGTTTTGTTGAATTACTTGAATGCTTTGGGTCATTGTCCTGTTGCCTCACCCATCCTCTGCGGAGCTTCAGTTGGTGGACAGATGGTCGTACGTTTTCCTGCAAAATGTCTTGATAAACTCTGGAATTCATTTTCCCATCAATGACAACAATCTGTCCAGGCCCTGAGGCAGCAAAGCAGCCCCAAACCATGATGCTCCCTCCGCCATGTTTCACAGTGGGGATGAGGTTTTGATGTTGGTGTGCTGTGCCTTTTTTTCTCCACACATAGTGTTGTGTGTTTTTCCCAAACAACTCAATCAATCTTGTTTCATCTGTCCACAGTATATTTTGCCAGTAGTGCTGTGGAACATCCAGATGCTCTTTTGCAAACTTCAAACGTGCTGCAATATTCTTTTTGGACAGCAATGGCTTCCTCCGTGGTGTCCTCCCATGTACTCCATTCTTGTTTAATGTTTTCCTTATTGTAGATGTGTCAACAAAAATGTTAGCATGTGCCAGAGATTTCTGTAGGTCTTTAGCTGACACTCTGGGATTCTTCTTTACCTCATGCAGCATTCTGCGCTGTGCTCTTGCAGTCATTTTTACAGGACGACCACGCCTAGGGAGAGTAGCAACAGTGCTAAACTTTTTCCATTTGTAGACAGTCTATCTTACCGTGGACACATGAACATCATGGCTTTTGGAGATACTTTTGTAACCCTTTCCAGCTTCATGCAAGTCAACAATTCTTGATCGAAGGTCTTCTGAGAGCTCTTTTCTGTGAGGCATGGTTCACATCAGACAGTGCTTCTTGAAACCAGTAAACCCAAAACAGGGGTGTGTTTTTTAAGGGCAGGACAGGTGTCAGCAACACATCCAATATCATCACACTGATTGGAGTCAAGGTTGGCTCACTCCTGGCTCCAATTAGCTCTGGGAGAAGTCATTAAGCTAGGGCCTCACATACTTTTTCCTCCCTGCACTGTGAATGTTTACATGTTATGTGCAATTAAACCATGGCAACATCTAATGTTTGTGTAGTATTATGTTCAGCAGACTGTGTTCTTCTATTGTTGTGACTTAGATCAGCGTTTTTCAACCACTGTGCCGCGGCACACTAGTGTGCCGTGAGATATTGTCTGGTGTGCCGTGGGAAAAATTCCAATTTCATCTGTAACATGTGGCTTCGGCTCACAAATAGACCAATCATTAGAATCTAATGATTCAGTGGTCGGCAAGCCGCGGCTCGCGAGCCACATGCGGCTCTTTACCCCAGTCTAATGCGGCTCTTCTGTGTGCCGGGCGCCTGCTCCCCTCCCTCCTCTCGGTCGGCCGCTCCCCTGCCTCCTCTCGGTTGGCAGCCCCAAAAGTCCCGCGCGGGACCTTTTAATCCGGCTTGCGGATGTGGCTGTCAGGAATGTGTGTAGGCGGGGCAGCGTGCCGAACGTGAGGGGAGGGGAGCTAGGCTCCTCTCACAGTCCGCCCTGAAGACCCGAACGGCGCGGGAAGACAGCGAGAGGAACGCAAAAGGTAAGTGAATTGACACGGGGGACTTGGCTTACTAGAAGGGGGGGGGGGGGCATCCAATAGTACTGTGGGGGATGAAATACTATATGAGGGATGAATTACTTTATGAGGGATGAAATACTATATGGGGGGATGAAATACTATTATGGGGGATGAATTACTATATCAGGGATGAATTACTATATGAGGGATGAAATACTATATGGGGGGATGAAATACTATATGGGGGGATGAAATACTATATGGGGGGATGAATTAACTATATGAGGGATGAAATACTATATGGGGGGATGAAATACTATATGAGGGATGAAATACTATATGGGGGATGAATTACTATATGAGGGATGAATTACTGTATGAGGGATGAAATACTATATGGGGGGATGAAATACTATATGAGGGATGAAATACTATATGAGGGGATGAAATACTATATGGGGGGGATGAAATACTATATGGGGGATGAATATACTATTATGAGGGATGAAATACTATATGAGGGATGAAATACTATATGAGGGATGAATTACTATATGAGGGATGAAATACTTAATGAAATACTTGATACATATGGGGGATGAATTTCAATATATATGGAGGGATTGAATTACATGGGGGATGAATTACTTATGGAGGATGAATTACTATATGGGGGAATTAATTTCTATGCTTACTATGGGGGAATATTACTATACTTACTATGGATGGACACATACACATCATTCAATCTACTCTTGGTCCGGCCCCCGGGTCCAATTATAAAAATACTTTATTATTTCATAATAAAGTAATTTATAAAATAATTTCTTTGTGTGTTTTCCTATTCAAGAGAATTACTTTATATACAGTCATGGCCGAAATTGTTGGCACCCTTGATATTTTCCTGAAAATCAAGTATTTCACACAAAAAAGGTATTGCATTAACACATGTTTTGCTATACACATGTTTATTCCCTTTGTATGTATTGGAACAAATATAAAACAGAGGCAGAAAAGCAAATATGACATAATGTGTCACACAAAACCCCAAAAATGGGCTGGACAAAATTATTGGCACCCTTAACTTAATTATTTGCGTTGCACACCCTTTGGAAAACATAACTGAAATCAGTCGCTTCCTATAACCATCAATAAGCTTCTGACACCTCTCACCCGGAATTTGGACCACTCTTCCTTTGCAAACAGCTCCAGGTCTTCTTATTGGAAAGGACACCTTTTCCCAACAGCAATTTTAAGATTCTCCACAGGTGTTCAATGGGATTTAGATCTGGGCTCATTGCTGGCCACTTCAGAACTCTCCAGCGCTTTCCTTTGCCATCCATTTCTGAGTGCTTTTTGACGTATGTTTGGGGTCATTGTCCTGCTGGAAGACCCAGGATCTTGGACGCAAACCCAGCTTTCTGACACTGGGCCCTACAGTGCGACCCAAAATCCTTTGGTAATCCTCAGATTTCATGATGCCTTGCACACACAGTCAAGGCACCCAGTGCCAGAGGCAGCAAAACAACCCCAAAACATCATTGAACCTCCACCATATTTTACCGTAGGTACTGTGTTTTGTTCTTTGTAGGCCTCATTCCGTTTCGGTAAACAGTAGAATGATGTGCTTTACCGAAAAGCTCTATCTTGGTCTCATCTGTCCACAAGACGTTTTCCCAGAAGGCTTTTGGCTTACTCAAGTACATTTTGGCAAACTGTAGTCTTGCTTTTTTATGTCTCTGTGTCAGCAGTGGGGTCCTCCTGGGTCTCCTGCCATAGCGTTTCATTTCATTTAAATGTCGACGGATAGTTCGCGCTGACACTGATGCTCCCTGAGCCTGCAGGACAGCTTGAATGTCTTTGGAACATGTTTGGGGCTGCTTATCCACCATCCGGACTATTCTGCGTTGCAATCTTTCATCAATTTTCCTCAATCCGTCCACGACCAGGGAATTAGCTACAGTGCCATGGGTTGCAAACTTCTTGATAATGTTGCGCACTGTGGACAAAGGCAAATCTAGTTCTCTGGAGATGGACTTGTAACTGAGTTGTTGATATTTTGCCCACACAATTTTGGTTCTCAGGTCCTCAACCACAGTTCTCGTCTCCTTTTAATTTGTCCATGCTTAGTGTGTGGCACAGACAGACACACAAATGCAAAGGTTAATGAAACGTGAACGTCAATTTGATCTGCTTTCAGGTGTGATTTCTATATTGCCCACACCTGTTAACTTGCCCCAGGTGAGTTTACAGGAGCATCACATGGCTTGTAACATTCTTATTTATCCGCAGTGTGAAAGGGTGCTACTTTTGTCCAGCCCATTTTTGGAGGTTTTACATTGTCGAATTTGCTTTCTTTCCTCCCTTTTTTTGTTTTTGTCCCAATACACACAAAGGGAATAAACATGTGTATAGCAAAAACTGTGTTAATGCAATACGTTTCGTGAGAAATACATGATTTCCTGGAGAAATATCAAGGGTTTGCCAACAATTTTTGTATAGTCAATATAGGCACACCTCGTGATTTTTTTCATGAAAAAAGTGTGCCTTGCACAAAAAAGGTTGAAAAACACTGACTTAGATGACGTTCATTTTATGCCCAATTCATGCAAAACTCCACGTAATCCCAAGGGGTTCACATACTTTTTCTTGCAACTGTATGAGCTAATATCATACAAGAAAATTCAGCTTATAAAATCACTGGGGTGCTGTGCTCTATGAACTTAAAACAAATATTTCTGATACTACTGATTTAGTAGCTCACATTGTTTGTAAATGATAAGTTTCTTTAAAAAGGTAACTGCACCCAAAACTGATATTTTTATTTTGTATAGTCACCAGTAGGTTGAACAACTCACAGATTTTTTTTTTCAATATCTTTCAGAGATTCCATTGGTTACATATCCTAGCAGTACTATCTTAAGGCTTCCCTCAGGGTTGTTTCCTTCTCTTGTGGCTGAATTCCCCAAATGATTTGCTTATTCTAGTTAAAAGATCAATCTGGGGGGAATAATACCATCATTTGTCTAAATCACAGTGGTCGTACAGTACTGGGAATTGTGGTGGGAGTATTTTATTACTGGCGTCTAGTAAATATTTAAAACTGCATTACATTCAAAACTTGAACAGCAGCTGAGAGCTGACATATTCATTTTGGGTAAAATTGACTTGTCATTGAATTTAAATACCAATAAAACATCATTTTTTTTTTTTTTTTTTTTCTGTTTTTAAATTATATCCACATAATTGTAACATTATTGTAACAGATCAAATGAGACAATGTAATTGTTAATGGCAGTATTTCAATGTTCATTTTAAGTAATTTAGAAACTAACAAAATACCAATTTTTATATATTTTGCCTGTTTCGTAATGCAGACAAATCAGGCAACTAGGCAATACAATTTTATAAATGAGGAGCTGAAAGTGAAGAGGCTGTTATAGTAGTTTTATCTAAATATTGCATTCCAAAAGGATAAAAAAAAAAAAACCTGAAGACCAGATTCAAATTACATGGGGAATATATACGTATATGTATACAGTAAAGCTTAAGCCTTTAGATATTTGCTGATAACTATAAGCATAGTTTGATATAGAAGAAGAAAACTACTTTTCATCTTTTTAAACATATGCCTTGAGTATTCCTCAGAATCTGTTCTGTTTGTGTTGGTTTGCTTTTCTCTTATGTTTGCTTTCTTGGCTTTTGTTATCTACAAGAGGCTATTGTAATGAGGGTTATATCATGATTTTCTAACAACATGGGTTTATTCTTTGTTCCCGCTTTGCGCTTTGGAATCTGTATCGTGTAAAATAATAGACTGATAGTGAACAGACGGATACAGCAGCTGATGGTGAAACAACCGCCACGGAGGTGTGTAAAAATACGGACCACTCTCTCAAAAGTATTTCAGTGGGTGTGATTTGGTTACTGTGTTTACAAAACTTTCACAAAACCTACAGAGGGAGAAAAATGTTAAGAAAAATGAAAAGGGATTTGTTGAGGTATTAGATTTTCTGTGACTTGTGCCAAATGTTTAATTTAAAGTGATTGTGAACCCTTACATATACCAGTGAAGTGACTATCATCAGATGCTACACAGGGATAAAACAAATCCTCCCACATAAGTTGTAAATGTTTATCTGCAGTCTTCTCTTCTCTACATCTGTTAAAAGTGCAGAATTTTTAAAGCTTTTCTGGGAGTTCAGAAAAATAGGGCAGAAAGCTGAAATTACACACTGCAGGGAGAGTTGATTGGAGAAAAGAGACACACCAAACCTCCAGACAGCTCACAGGAACAGAGTTGAGGCTGTTCTAATCTGCTGGAGGTCCCTCCCATCACCATTTTTCTCTTGGTGTCAGGAAAACCTGTCAGAATTGATTCATGCAGATAGCAGAGAAACAAAGCAGCAGACAGATATTACACTTTGCACTTTGGATTGAGACAAGTACACACTATAGAGATATATGCTTTGTTCATATTTCATGTCTGAGGTTTAGAACCATTTTAATGCACAAATTTGTAGGCAGCTAAAGACAGATGTACCTGTATACTAATGTGTTCCTCCTTGCTTAAACAACTGTACTATAAATATGAAGGCACACACCATATACAGTGTTTTCTATTCCAAACCATAAACTATAGCAGGCCATAGATTAGCTGAAATTTGGCCAGTTCAGCAGGGACCGGCCAAATTTCAATCCATATGTGTTCGTGACTGCTCGACAGAAAAAGACTGTGCTTGTTGGAAAAATGTAACCAGTCAAATAGCTGTAATGATACAAAACACATAAAGTGCAGCGCAATAAAAGATATATGTAAATCCAGATGTTAATAAGTCCTATATAGAGTCCATATAACAATAGCAATTACTAACAGAAGTTGGGTAATTCAGTGATTCAAAGCTGTGGCATTAACATTCAGGTGTAAAGGTGCTCAGACCCACCACCAAAGGTAATTGTGGCCGCTCATCTTAACAATATGACTCCTGAGCGAACAGTTATAAGTCATAACACGCATTCCCACATGGGGGCCACATATAGATGAAGACTCTGCTGTCTCATCATATGCTCACAGTATGTATGTCCCACAGAAAAATATAATCAAAAAAAAAAGGGGGAAAAATAGTGCTCTCTGTTAAAAGATTTTATTTTACAAAAGAAAATCACATTTACAAATTTGGGCACTTATAAAGTTCATGAATGAGCGCTCCGAGCAGAGCAGCAGATATCCGATCTGAAGATAGCCACGGTGTGACGTCAGAGGTGTCGCTTCTCCTCCTTCTGCAGTGGCTGTACAGTGTATTCTGACATTGGAATGTGTCGCTGTCAGAATACAATGCCGCAGCAGGGAGGACTCCTCTGTCCACCTCACATGTGTGGATGGAGAAATCCCTGTTTTTTTTTTTTTATCTGCCTACTGGCTGAACAAAAAAAAAAAAAAAAAAAAGAATCATCTGTGGCTAGCTTATTTTCAAATACCTTGCAAAATTTTCAGTTGTTAAACTTTAATTAACTAAGCGTAAATTTAGATTTTGTTGTTTACAGAAGACAAGTCAGGCACATCCACTGTGTTGTTTTCAATAAATGAACTACCACTGTATACCGTTTACTGTGCATAGATTAAAATCTGTAAAGAGAAAAAAAGGTTTATAAAATTATCATACAACTAATACATTGAAACAGATTACCCTAGTGCCAGAATCCTGATGCTCAAGCTCAATGTTCCCAACCTAAGAGAAGGCAAGTCATTCACAGAATGGCATTCATTTGTGCCAAATTTATGAAATGTGTTGAGGCTAGTGATTAAACAATCAGATCGTTAAAGGTTAGGCGTAAGATGGTTCTTTAATGTAGGAGATAATTTGTTTAATTACTCTTGGGGGAGATACACAATTTTCACTTCCTCCTGGCTATTATATTTATGCTAAAGAAGAAGCCTAGACAAAAATATGAAAATAAAATTAATATTGTTTCTTATAGTAGGGACATTTAGGTAATTAAATATGACCAAAAAAATGTTTTAAAGGGTTCGTTCAACCTTTCAGAAAAAATGATTATTAGAATGAATATTAATAACCATTCTGTTGTGAAAATACATTAAAATATTTATACAATTTGATATTTTACAATGCTTCCAGTCGGATCAAGAAGATGATACAGATGTGAAGACTCGGGTAAATAAATAATGTTAAGCTGAACATAATAGGTTCTGTTCTTGTATTGCAAAGTGCTCATCTGGTGCATCTGGTGTATCTGGAACATTAGAGCAAAAGTCGTCATTGTCCAACATTTTGTTTGTATCTTAATGTGCCCTCTCTTCACTTTTTCAGAATAGTCTCATTAAGCGAATAAAGGGTGAAAATGTATATGTCAAACATAGTAATCTTATGTTAGAGGTTGGTATTGGTACATACCACTGCATGCACTTGTGTGTTTTATTTTTTAGCATGGACTGAGTGACCCTGCCTCTTAGTGAACTGAGTGGACTTTCAGTGTTCCCTGATTTTGTTTTTTTGTTTTATTGTTTTTTTTTAACATAGAGGTGCTTTAGTTGTATTCTATTTATGTACTTTAAGACTTAGCCAAGTATTTTAACATTGTTTGTTATTAGAGTTCACTTTACAGCACTTCAGTGGTAAATCCCGAATACTCACTCTTCACCCGATTTTTTTTTTTTTTTTTTTTTTGATTTTTCAATAGTGAAAGCTAGATCTACTTGGTCAGCCTGATACTAACCTTTCAATTTTTTTTATTAATATTGTTGTATATCACTGTTACCCTTCAGTGGCTGCAATGTCAAGCAACTACAAATACAAACGGCTACTTTGCCCAACAATGTTCTCTTAAGCACATATATCAGTCAGTACTACCAGTTTTCATCACTAGTGGTAGTTAAATAGTTTAGGGAATTACAAATTAGCAATAAAAGACTGCTTGCTTATGAAGAAGACCCGAAGTGTTGCACATTGCTTGCTTGAAAACTTTTTTTTGTACGCCATTTTAAAACCCAAAGGCAGGATTATTCAGGTTGACATTTGAAATTGCTGCCCTTGTGTAAATAGGTAGATACTGGATCTTTGATAGCATCAGACAGAATAACTGCACATTTTAGCTTTGTATTGAACATTGCTAACGTTCTAAATGAAACCCCATCTTACAGAGGTACTCAAGGATCTATTATGTTGCTTGTTATTGTAGCAACAAGGGTGTTTTGTGGTAAACTTGTTCAGGCATGTGCTTTTTTTATAATTTACATTTCACTCTAGGAATATGATAGGAATCAAGAAGAACTAATGAAACATCAGACCAACATCAGTGAGCTCAAGAGAACCTTTTTGGAAACCTCAACAGACACTACAGCTGCCAGTGAATGGGAGAAACGGCTCTCTACATCACCCGTGAGACTTGCTGCCAGACAAGAAGAAGCTCCTATGATTGAACCATTAGTGCCTGATGAGGTCAGTGGACAAAACATACAGGTGAAACTCAAAAATTAGAGTATCGTGCAAAAGTTAATTTATTTCAGTAATGCAACTTAAAAGGTGAAAGTAATATATGAGATAGACTCATTGCATGCAAAGCAAGACAGTTTGTCATAATTGTGATGATTATGGCTTACAGCTCATGAAAACCCAAAATCCACAATCGCAGAAAATTAGAATATTGTGAAAAGGTGCAATATTCTAGGCTCAAAGTGTCCCACTCTAATCAGCTAATTAAGCCATAACACCTGCAAAGGGTTCCTGAGCCTTTAAATGGTCTCTCAGTCTGGTTCAGTAGGAATCACAATCATGGGAAAGACTGCTGACCTGACAGTTGTGCAGAAAACCATCATTGACATCCTTCATAAGGAGGGAAAGCCTCAAAAGGTAATTGCAAAAGAAGTTGGATGTTCCCAAAGTACTGTATCAAAGCACATTAATAGAAAGTTATTTGGGAAAAGTGTGGAAGAAAAAGGTGCACAAGCAGCAGGGATGACCGCAGCCTGGAGAGGATTGTCAGGAAAAGGCCATTCAAAAGTGTTGGGGACTTTCACAAGGAGTGGACTGAGGCTGGAGTCAGTGCATCAAGAGCCACCACACACAGATGGATCCTGGACATGGGCTTCAAATGTCGTATTCCTCTTCTCAAGCCGCTCCTGAACAACAAACAACGTCAGAAGCGTCTTACCTGGGCTAAAGAAAAACAGACCTGGTCTGTTGCTCAGTGGTCCAAAGTCCTCTTTTCTGATGAGAGCAACTTTTGCATCTCATTTGGAAACCAAGGACCCAGAGTATGGAGGAAGAATGGAGAGGCACATGCTGCAAGATGCTTGAAGTCCAGTGTGAAGTTTCCACAGTCTGTGTTGATTTGGGGAGCCATGTCATTTGCTGGTGTTGGTCCACTGTGCTTCATTAAATCCAGGGTCAATGCAGCCGTCTACCAGGAGATTTTGGAGCACTTCATGCTTTCTTCGGCAGATGAGCTTTATGGGGATGCTGACTTCATTTTCCAGCAGGACTTGGCACCTGCCCACACTGCCAAAAGCACCAAAACCTGTTTCAATGACCCTGGGATTAATGTGCTTGATTGGCCAGCAAACTCGCCTGACCTGAACCCCATAGGGAATCTATGGGGCATTGCCAAGAGAAAGATGAGAAACATGAGACCGAACAATGCAGAAGAGCTGAAGGCCGCTATTGAAGCATCCTGGTCTTCCATAACACCTCAGCAGTGCCACAGGCTGATAGCTTCCATGCTACGCCGCATTGAGGCAGTAATTGCTGCAAAAGGGGCCCAAACCAAGTACTGAGTACATATGCATGCTTATACTTTTCAGAGGTTCTATATTGTTCTATGTAAAATTCTTGTTTTTTTGATTGCATGTGATATTCTAATTTTCTGAGATTGTGGATTTGGGGTTTTCATGAGCTGTAAGCCATAATCATCACAATTATGACAAATCACGGCTTCAACTATCTTGCTTTGCATGTAATGAGTCTATCTCATATATTAGTTTCAACTTTTAATTTGCATTACTGAAATAAATGAACTTTTTCGAGTTTCACCTGTATAAAAGGGGGTGGGGCATTTATCTTCATATACAGTGGTGGCAAAAATTGTGGAAACTTTTGGAAATTTTAATGTTTTGCAACTTTGCAGAAATGCTTATAGGAAATGTTATTTTGCACCAAATTCACATGTTTATATGTCAATTTAAAGACCACTTAATACTGAATTGAATACAAAAAACAGTATTCAAATATAAATATGCAGGACAAAAAAAAAGTTATGCTTAGTCTCATAAAAGAAACAAACGTGTGAAGACCAGGCCTTTTCTGACACTGTTTACATGTATAAATCAGCCTTTTTTGCTAGAAAAAAACTTGCTTGGAAACCCCAAATGTTATCACACACACAGCTGCGGCTCGTTGCGGCTTTCCATGCAATCCCTCCTGATTGGCTCACTGGCTGTGATTGACAGCAACTGGAGCCAATAGCTTTCATGCTGCCTTAGCCAATCAGGAGTGAATTGCTAGTCCCCAAAGAACCAAGGGTCTGGTGGCCCCACATCGCTGTCCATGTGGCTCAGGTAAGTGTTAGGGGGGCTGTAACAGAAGGTTTTTTACCTTCACGCATACAATGCATTAAGGTAAAAAAACTTTGAGCCTATAGAACCACTTTAAATATGTTTCTTAACCAAAATTGAAAAAAACAATACGTCAATTACTGTATGTTGCGGCTTTCAAGTAGTATATCGAGATGATGCCTGCAGCTACAGGCATCATCCCAGTATTGTTTTTTTTCTAAAAGAGGCGAGCAAATATTTTATGTAAAAGCCATCTGAGCAGCTAATTACTTTATGAATTGCTATTACAGGCCGCAAGAGTGGTCGCCCCACACTCCCCACCCATCACTTTGCCCTCCAGTGCCTCTCTGGGATCTGTTATGTATTTAGAAATCTGTTTACTTGGCATAACACCATGTTTTATATTTTACCAAAAAATTGAGTTTTGCGTTTGTGTGAATTCAAATTCATTAAAACATGTGTGTATTTTTCCCGAAAATGTGTGTTTAAAAAAATGCTACTCAAATACTGTGTGAGATAACAAATTGCAAAACTCACCATTTTATTCTCTAGAGCCTAAATATATACAATGTTTGGGGTTCTAAGTAATTTTCTATATAAAAAAATATATATTTTTTTACACGTTAAAAAAAAAAAAAAGCGGAGGTGTCAGAAAAAGCCTAGTCTTCATACTTTATTTAGACTAAAGTAAGCATACCTTTTTTGTACTGCACATATTTGAAATTAGTTTTTTGCATTGATATCACTATTAAATTGTCTTTAAATTGACCTATAAACACATTTTGCATTAGGTGCAAAATAACATTTCCTATAAGCCTGCAAAGTTGCAAAACATTAAAATTTCCAAATCATAAATTTCGATATAGGGTACCTTAATTTTAACAGACTTTATTAGCTATGTGTTTGTCAGGGGTTTATACCTACCAGTGCTCGGCCATGTCCCCTCAATGTACCAAGAAGCTGAAATTATGACTGTAATGGTATAAAAGTGTGAAACATGAAAGGGAGACCTTGGTAGTGTCTGGTATGTGTAGGACAGTATATAGAGACCCAGAAATGTAGATATATAACAAACCCAAAAAGGCAAACTTCAAGCTCCTTAGTCAGAAGGGTGCCTTCCTTTTATTTATAGAAGAAAAAAAAGAGGAAGAAAACAAAAAAGGTTCCAGTTATTCAGGTGTAAATAGTAGTGTAGGTACTTCTGTAGGTCTACTTATGTCTAAAGATATGAGATTTTGTATGCAGTACTGAGAATATTTGCAATGGCACAAAGCAACAGTTTAAAAAATATTTTATTATATACACAACACAAAAGTATTTGTCCTGTAGGCATTTAAAAAACACATTTTTTTACTTCATCATAATTCTACTTCATAATTTTGCATCATCAAATGTCATTGAAGTCAATTTTTTCCCCTAAATCAGATAAAGATAACATAACTCCTGATCTGAACTGCAACTCTATATGCAGCCATTCAGAGCTCTGCACACACAGGGCAAGAGTAACACAGACCAGAAGCCGCCATCTCCTTCACAGCAGTGACTGACAGTGGCTCTGTGCTGCCTTTATGTTCTTTTGATTTGAATACCACATTAACCTTAAATAAATTTGCTTAGAAGGAAGAATTCAATATGCTTACAGCGATGGAGATCATAGCCACCAGATCTATCACAGGTAAAGACTGCTAAGCAGGACCAACACTAATACCTTAGGAATAAAGTTTGGTTCTCAATAGAAATAATCCTCTGCAGATAGATGGGTGACAAAACTGTGTGTGTGGGGGGGGGGGGGGGGGAAGCGGTTGCGAAGACCCGAGGGAATAAAACACAAGGAAAGATATTCGGGGGGGGGGGGGGGCAAAGCACGAGAGTCCCATATTGCACACAGCCTCACCCTACCTGCTGTTTCGTATCGAGGATCACCACCCATACCCGTAAGAATAATGGTTGCAGAAGAATACTCAGTTGTAAAGCAGTTAGTAACATCGTATTCAGATCAAAGCTGACAAAAAGAGTAAAGTGAGTAGCAGAGTAAGGAAAGTAGAGAGAGAGAACAAAGATGAGGAGAAAGTAAGTAATGGATATTTAACTAAATGTTGACAAGTTCTGTAGTAGTTTAACAGACAGAGTGGTCTTGGAAGTATTGTGTTTACCAAACTCCTAACTTCCCGCATCCAACCACACCTGCCCCAGCTGGTCCATTTAAATAAAGCAGGATTCGTCCCTACATGTGCAGCACGAGACAACACCATCGATGTCCTTAACTTGATTCATCTGGCTAATCATAATAAAAACCCCCTGAATCTTCCTGAATATGGACGCAGAAAAAGCCTTTGACAGGGTGAAGTAGAATTTTATATTCGCAGTCCTGCATCACATGGTCTTCGGGACTGGCTTATTCAGTGGATATCTAGTGTCTATACCACCCCAACAGCTTCAGTTAGAGCAAATGGAGTATTCTCAAAACCTTTTGCTATATTCAGTAGGACTCGTTAATGCTGTTCGCTTTCCCCTTTATTATTTGCCCTTACCTTGGAACCCTTTTTATGTAAAGTCAGGCTGAACAAAGATATTACGGGACTACAGGTTGGAGCCTCTTACTACAAAGTGTCCTCTTATGAGCACGACATGCTATTTTCTCTAACCAACCCTCATATCTCCTTACCAATTCACTTAGATGAATTCAAGAACTATGGTGTTCTTTCAAATTTGAAGATTAACTGTAATAAATCGAAAGCTATGGGTGTAGCATTACCCTCTGTTCTGCTGCATACTCTGCAATCCAACTTTCACCTCAAATGGACCTCATCGGCACTGAAGTATCTGGGCACCCACAATCCACCAATCCTACCTAATACTTTCTCACTGAATTTTCCACCTCTACTCAGT